GAGGGGATCCTGAATACGGTTTTCTACACTCTCCTCTTCCCCTCTTTCAATCTATCTCTCTCTCCCTTTCTCTCTTACACACACCCACCAGTGCACACCCTTTCCTAGGCCATTTATGTTTCACCATCAGTGGCCGCTGTTTGACATTGCCCTACAATGTAAAAAATTTCACAACCGAGGCTCTGAGTAAATGCCCAAGGAATCAATTTTATAAATTAAAAATTGATTTATTGTGTTTATTTGGAGATATGCCATGCAGTTTAGCTCTTGCCACATTCCACCAGAGAGGAGCAGAGTTGTAAATATTTAACAATAATGGTATGTAGGACTCAGAGGAGGGTATTCCTGCCCAAGCAGCACAGACTGTGATGTGTTCCCTCTGGGTTGTTGTGATAATCAACTATCTACCAATTATAATCTGGGGTTTGTAAACAGCCGGAAGATTCCCTTGGAGGGAGTAATTATATTCCCTTTAACACTCTGGAAGACACTTTCTCTTAAACATGCTGTGTGCTGACTGCAAAGAAGATTTATGTTACTAATGACAAAGGAAAATACTCAGAACCAGGCAAGGGACCTTGGTGGGACAGAGATATAAGAAGGCTGAGAAAAGAGCAGAGAACATCCCAAAATGCCATGAACTATTATTAATCAGAGGCAGAACTGGCTTGGCCAATCCATATGCACATACGTGCTAAGATGCATGAGACGTTAACAACATGGATCTGGAGTCGGTTTTGTATCTCACCATAACCAGCATGTTCTTTTGAACACGATAATTCACCATATTAAGACTTAGTTTTCTCTTCTGTAAAGTGGGAATAGTAATTCTTATCTCATGTGGTTATTCTGAGAATGAAATTCAAAACATAACTAAAATGTCTAGAACAGTAACACCCCCCAAACAATCACATACACTGCAGATGTTACCAATGCCAAAGCCATATCCTCTTGGAACTCACCACTCCAGGTACAAGACGATAGCTTCCTACAGAGACCATCCAAAGTTCTTTGCCTGGGAATCCTCTCAGCCCAGGGGCATGGAGCAGGGTGGAATTGTCAGGGAGCTAATGCTTTCAGCAACAGCTCTTGGCCAATCATGCATAGAATTTAGTGATTAAATACATATATCCTTACTCCTGGAGTAGGATGACTCTGAGGCTCCCTCCATGCTGTCTCTCAAGGGTCCCCTGTGGGCTTGAACTCCATTTGTCCCCTGTTGTAACCTGCTCATTAATGCACTCCGTATTGGTTTCTATCATACCCTGTCTCACTTTCCTATTTCCCAACCAGAGCTTCCTGGGATTGCCTCCAAAATAAACCACTACATTCAAATGCTTGTTTGAGGATAGAATCCAGCCTAAACACTATCTCTCACATGTAATCAGGATCAGTAATTTGGACAATTGGGTTTACAAGATGTTCGATTCACTAGCCAAGCCCTGTTTATTCAGCCTCCTATCACCGTCTCCCCACCCCCCACCCATACCACAGCCATTGCCTCCATTGAGGCCCTTCTCATTGATTCTGTTTTGGCTGCACTATAGTCTCTAGCTGATCTCCATGCTTCCAGAAACTCTATCATCTAATCCATCACCCACTTACTGCCAAAGTAACTATCCTAAAATGCAGTTCTGGCAATGAGTGCCATTCCCTTGTTTTTGTCTTTTAAACTATCAGTGAAGCTCACTGCCTCCATGATTATGTCTTAAATTTTATAGAATGGTATGTGAGGCCCTTCAAAAGCGAGTTCCAACCAACCCTCAGCCTCACCTCCAGTGATTGCTAAACACAGCCAATGTCGGCCTATGTAGAACAAACTAGTGTCTTCCCAAAAGCACTTTCACCTGTCACCTTTCTATGTGTTTGAATGTGCTCATGACCTTTCCTGCCTGAAGAACATGGCATACATACTTCAAGGGCTGGCTCAAACACCCCTTCCATCATGAGAACTTCTCCAACTCCCTGCACAACATAATGGTTCCCTCCTCTGGGCTCTCACAGTAGGATCTGTATTTAGTGACTCATTCATTCATTCATCAAGCCTTTTCAGAGCACATTCTACCAATCATATGTCAAGCCCTAGAGACACTGCTATAGGTTAAATGTGTCCCCTAGAAGTTCAGGTACTGGATACTTGATCTCCATTGCAGCAGTAGTAAGGGAGTGGAAAATCCAATCACGGTATTTGAAAGGTGGTCCTTTAAGAAGTGTTTGGATTCACAAGCCATGCCCTAGTGAATGGACTGATCCATTCATGGAGTAATGATTTGATGGTTTACTGGGTGGTCATGGGCATGGTTCTGATGGCTTTATAAGAAGAGTGAGTGAGAAGGTTTAGTCTCTCTTGCTCAGCCCACTCTCACCTTGTGGCTATGTGACCCTGTGTTGTGGTTAGAGTCACCACCAACATCAAGGTCCCCACCAGATGTGCCCCCTTGACTCTGGATTTCCCAGACTCAAAAAGTTTAAGAAATAAAATGTGTTTCTTTATAAGTTACCCAGTTTCATATATTCTGTTATAAGCAAAAGAAACAAACTAATACAGAAACCTTGCTGGATAAAAGCAGAAATAGCTCCTGCCCACATGAAGTTCACAGATGGAGGAAGGAAACAGACATTATCAGGTAATCGTATGAAAGTAAAGTTACAAACCGACATGAGAGTTTACAATAAAGAATGCCAGCCCAGCCTGGAGGTTGGAGAGACTTCCACAAAAATGGATGCTTGAGGTGAGAGTGAAATAAAAGTTAATACCAGATATAGGAGGTAGAACCATCCTTCCATCCCAGGCCAAAGGGATATCAGGTGCACAGCCCTGTGGTGGGAAGAGACATAACGTTCTTTTTGAGGAGTAGAAGATTAGGGCAGTTAAAGCAAAGAGGCACAGAGAACGGAGGGAGAATCACTTACATCACTCATTGTGCCATGTCTACTTGTTGACTGTGTCCTCCCTGCCTCACACTCTGAGGTTGAGCTCCTCAAGGGTAGGGGCCATGAATCACCAAAATAATATCCACCCCAGCACTTAGCACAGCGCAGAAAACAAAATTAATGTACCCAATTTATGGGGGGGGGGTTCATTTGTTTGTTTTTGTGGCTGGCTAGTACAGGGAACTGAAACCTTGACCTTGGTGTTATAAAGCTGCACTCTAAGCAACTGAGCTAACCTGCCAGCCCAGTACCCAATTTATGGATGACGGTGCTGAGGCTCAGGAAGGCTGAAAGTGTCACCCAAGATCCCAAGGCCGGCAGTGACATAGCAACTAGAGTAAACATCTACCATTCTTCTACTGCTTCTCTTTTCTAAATTGCTGCAAGGCAAACGCCCCCGCCCCCCGGTCTTTTTAAAAAAAATTTTAATAGCTCTTTTTTTCTATATCTCTTAGTTTTTCTATAGCTCTTTTTTCAAAGGGCCTGTTGGCAAAAACCAAAAAAACATTACAAACAAAACAAACAGCCAGTCCTGTGTGTGTGTTGGGGAGGAGATATATTTTGGTCCTCTGGGGGTGAGAACATGAACAGAACCCTTTTCTGGTAGAAGATTCTTTTCTGGAGCCTCTTTAATGGCCTGAAATGGTGTGGGTGGTGAGAATTAGCCATCGTAAGGTAGCCCCTGGTGATGTCCAGGACACAGCATCCTGGCTGACCCTGAAAGTCCCCGAGTGAAAAGACCGTGGATTGGACTCTTCCGGGCGGTGAGTGGGATCTCCAGTTTCCCGCTTCCCGAACCTCTCCGCCCTTCCACCCAGAACCGGCGGTTTGGGAAACAGCCCAATTTCCAAGCTATCCCGCCCGCCCCCGCAGGCCACCTTGTCGCGGGCAGGCATCCTCCAGGCCCAAACATTCATCTCTGTCCATTTCAAGGCTCCCGAGCCTGTGCCGTATATAACCAAGTACTGCGTTCATTGGGACATGGGGGGGGGGGGGGCGACAAGGCGCCCCCCCCCGGCGGGTTTTCTTCCCG